ATATATATATACAGAAATGATCTAATGAGCACCGGTGCTCATCTTATCCTAAACACCAATGAGTTGGCACATTAATTCATTGGTGGATTGGAACTCACAAAATCTTTATCCACCAATGAATTAATGTGCCAACTCATCGGTGCTTAGGATGAGATGAGCACCGGTGCTCATTAGATCATTTTTGTATATATATATATCTACGATTTACACAACCAACACATTGTGTTATCATTTTTTTAATAATTCGGGAGAGCTATTTTACTATGGCTGTAATTCCTATTTTTTATTAAATTTGGCATTTTCAATAATTCTTGACATAAACATTGCCCATTTGATGTAAAATTTTCTGATTTACATTGCTGATTTCATAGTCCCTTCTCCCCTTTCATTAAATCTTATATGCACTCAGGGATTGTAAATGCAATGTCTAAAGGCAACATGGGAGGTTTAGTCGAGGATTAAGTATTGTACGCTAAAACAATCTTAAGACGAGCCGACATGCTTTATATATAATATTATATTTCATCGTCAACAAGATTTTAACTTGTGTAGGTGACTTCGCAGCCATACCAACTGCAATTTCCATGTGAGTTTCGTTTTAATGACGTATTGGTTTTAACAACTCTTGCTTCATGGCAGATATGTACACTGGCGGAATGGGGGTGGGGCTTGGAGGGTCACATGACTCACCAATATTTTAACACTTTTTTTTTTTAATGAAAATAAAATCAACGGAAGAATGTGACATCTCTCCACCACTTTTCTCAAATCTCTGCTATTGTTGTCTGTAGATAGAGTTTTCTAGGAAAGTGAATTGAGTTTTCAGTTTGGAGGTTTACATCTTCATATTTGGAGTTTTAGGATTGATCTTCTTCATATAAAATAATATTACACGTAGATTATAAACTTTTTCTTCTTTTTCAATCATACATTCTCCAAAAAAATACTATTCTAAAAATTAAAATCTCAAATAATGAGGTCCAAACGAGGGTAAAGGGGCTTCTGTGTATTGGAGAAGAAGCTTGATCAGTCTATGGATGAGGAGGCTGGAAGACTTAGAAAATTTACACTCAAATTTCTCTCATTTTTTCATATATATAAACTATACTTGTATTTATATATTGATGAAATATTATCAGCGAGTTAGAATCTACAATTGCTTAATTTGCATTTGTTGAGATGTTTTTCTTCCCAATATACTGTACAACAAACTCCGACTCCGCTTTTCCTCATAAATGTCGCATATGCACTGATGACACGGTAATAAATATCTTACGTGGAATTGACAAAATTGATGATTGTTATCCTATGTTTATATTTGTCTTAAAGGTTTATAATTCTCAAGAATAAACTATAATTTTTTTTCTAATCAACTTGTTCGATTTGAAAGTTTGATTATGCCCCCTATATTCGAAATGTCGGTGTCCGATACCTAGCTCCTGTTTGTCTCCCATTATGAGAGAGAGAATAGAGTTTTGAATAGTATTTTTTGGGGAATGCGTTGTTAAAATTTAAAGAAACTTTATTGGTTTGTGCGTAAAATATTTTATTGTGTGAATATATGATGGAGAAATACGTAGCAAACAATTTAATTTTTTAAGGGTGACAAAAACAGCGTTAATATAAACAAAAAGGAAAGTCGGTTGGGTTCTGACTATGATACCAGGTTTTCGTCACAGACAATATACTTAAATAATCGTAGTAAAGAATTTGTTTATTGAATAGAGGTACTTTTAATTTAATTTTTTAATTTTCTTTAGCAATAAACCGCAATTTCCCACGTAATTCGTCCACCATAAAACACGCCAAATCCCACTATATTCTGCTCTATAAATTCTGTTCTATCACTTTATCTGTGTACAAATAACATACAAATCAATCATATTTGTTTGAAAATATGTTGATGAAAATAACGCAAAAATCTTCCCTTCAATCCCTGCACCTCCCAATTCGATTTCCAGGCAATTTTATGCCTCGAAAACCAGCACGTGTAAGAGTTTACAGCCCAGTTTTTGCAGTGAAAAGAGACGCAGGCCATGATAAAGGAAGGTTGGTCGATGAAAACATGATTGTTCTTAGAATGAGAATTCATCAAATGAAGATGGCAGAGGGAAATCACGCGCCGCCGCCGCCGAATTGGATGGAGTGGGAGAAGAAATGGTACGTCAATTATGATTCAGATGTATTTGAAGCAGTAGGGCTGTTGCAAAATTTGCTGATGGACAGTAGGCCAAGCTTTGTTGTGGGAGGGGTGGCTCTCATGATATTGAGCGGATCTACTTCTTTGGCTCTTCTAATGTTCCTTTTGGTGGACATTTTCAAGGGGATTCATTTTTGATTAATTAATCATCACTTGTTCTTTTAATTAGGTTTTGATATTCATATA